TGGGGGAGATGGGGAGGCGGGGAGAGGATGGGGAGGGCAGGGAAAAGAGGGGAGAGGAGAGGAGAACAGGGGAGAGCAGGGGAGGGTGGGGAAAGGGAAGAGAAGGGGGAGCTGCCGGGAGGGGAGGTGACAGGGGAAGGAGAGGGAGATGGTTGGCAGTGCTGGGGCCCTGAGAATAAGCCGAGGGTGGTCTCAGGCTCCCCCATGGCCCAGGGGCTGGGTGTCTACTTCCGAGGGCCTATGCACTAATTCTGGAAGCACAGGAGCCAGCAGCCACGCTTCCAGCCAAGGAGACCGGTGGAGGGGAACATGCCGGTGGCCAGGGCACCACCGAGAGGCAGAGGCGCCTGTGACCGAGGAGGAAGTCATGGTTGGGCTTGTGCCTCCCCGGGCCAGCCTACCTCCTCCCACGGAGAGTGTACCTGACTCCGCACCTGAGGCTGGTCCAGCACCTCCCGTGCTGTCAGCCCCGGCTGGGAACATTTCAGGGTCAGGGGACCAGCCCACACCACGCCCGTGGAGTACGCAGCATGAGGCGGGACCGTCTGTCCTGGAAGCCTTACCTGGAGCCGGGCCGGCACTGGCCTTCCTCCTGGGCCGTTGGCTCTCGCTGACTCTCCTCCCTGGCCTCCTTCCCAGGGTCCTGCGTCCTGTCCTCACCCTCCTGCTGATGTCCGACGTCACCCTCACCTGGCGACCCACCTCCAGGGTCCACCTGGGACCCCGCGGTGTTCGCCAGGCCCTGGGAGGAAGAAGGGACTTTGGGCTCCCGCCCATTGGGGGTGTCTTCCAGGGGCAGAGGGGCCGCGGCGCCCACGGGCAGCTCCTCCAGGGCAGGCGGGCCCTTCTCCAGTCTGTCCCCAGGACCCTTGTCGCTGGCCTTGACCAGGCCTGCATGAGAGGCCTTGATGATGTTCCCAGGGTGGCACTTCTGAACACTCTCGATGGCCTCGTCCCTGCTGTCCCCGCAGCTCCCGCAGCACACGCACGAGTTAATGAGGCCGTTGGTGGCGGCTGGGCTGAGTTTGCGGGGCTCCGTGTCCACCTTCGTCATGGCGGGGTCCAGGGGGGAAACCATGCTGCGTGGAGCTTCCGGGGCGATGACGGCCGAGTCCAAGGACGTCGGTGACTTAGGGTTGAAGATGACCGTGGCTGAGAGCTTCATGCCCCCCGTCCGGTGGGCGATCATCTCAGCTGTCTCGGCATCATCGGCGCTGGCCTCCCAGCCGTCCAGGGACAGCTGGGCATCCAGGCAGCTGCAGGAGTTGGCGCCCAAGAGGCTCACCACCTGCATTTTGTCACCTGGGATGTTGTTATTGCATGAGTCCTCGTCCTTTTCCACTGATGGCCCACTGGGCCCTGCCTCTCCGCTCTCCCCAACCTGCCCTCTCTCCTGGGGGTGGGCACAGGTGCTGCCTGCCCACCTGAAGGGGCTGCTGGGAGCCTCTCCCGCCCCCTCCACGTCGTCCATGAAGAACACCCTCTCCTCGTCGCTCCCCTGTTCCAGCTGCACCCTGGCAGGAGAGGCCTCCCCATGGGGGCTGCCCTCGGCCCCCAGCCTGTGAGCAGGGGACTGGCAGGCGCTAGGCGGAGACAGGAGGGATGACATCTCATCCCCTGCCCGGTGCACCATGCGGTTGAGTTGCTCCAGCTCCTGGTCGTCATACTGCATGGAGCAGGCCAGCTCTGTGTCCGGGTCCTTGGCCTTAGTGGACAGCGGCTCTTCAGGGGGCAGGGGAGTGGGGAAGGCGGGCGTCAGGGCGGCGGGCACCTGGACATCTGCCCGGATGGGGAACTCCACATCCTGGGAAATGCAGAGGTTCCGCTCCAGCGTGTGCAGCTCCTCGTCCGTGAGGGTTTGCAGCAAGTCTCTATGGAGACCAAGACAGAAAATGAGGGTGAGGTCCCAAAGGCCGCAGCAGCCACCAGGCCACACAGGCCCCCTCAGCCACGAGTGGACACAACACCCCTGAGGTCTGCACCCGCAGAAAAGCAAAGAGGTGTTGAATGGGGACGAGGGACTGCCCACGGCACGGGAACATGTTTCCTCTCCCGTAGAATGAGGACCCAGGATCGGCCAATCTCCAGGTAGGGACAGCCACGGCCATCCCAGATGGCTGGCTGTGCACTGGGCACCCCAGACAGAGATTCTGGGATGCTTTCTTCCTTAAAAATGAGATTCTGAACCTCTCACTGAAATCAAGAATGACTTGATTCTCAGGAATGTGCTGGCTGCGTTAATAAAAGCTTTAGGGCGTGAACAAAAATTATACAGTGGTTAACACAGAGACTTCCATCTGTTTGCTCAACAGATATCACCAGGACCCAGATGCCCTCGAGTGCCCTTCAAGTCCCTCCCCTGTTACTACCAATTGAGATGTTGCTCTCGAGATACGCGGGATTATGCAGTCTGCACTCTTGTGCCAGGCTTCGTTTGCCAATATTACATGCGTGTAGGGTTCTCAGATAGAATACAGGATGCCCGGTTAAATCTAAATTTCAGATACAGAGCTCATAGTTTTTTTAGTATAACTATGTCCCAAATAAGGAGCCCTGGTGGCACAACACTTAAGGGCTTGGCTGCTAACCAAAAGGTTGGCGGTTCAAACCCACCAGCCGCTCCGTGGGAGAAAAGACCTGGTGATCTGCTCCTGTAAAGATTACCGCTAGAAAACCCTATAGGGCAGTGCTACTCTGTCACATTGAGGTCTCTATGAGTCAGAAGTCAACTTGACAGCATCCAACGACATGTCCCAAATGAGACTCATACTAAAAAAGTATTCGTTATTTATCTGAAATTAAGATTTAACTGCACATCCTGGTTTTTTAGTTTGCTGTTTATTTATTTATTTTTTTGCTAAATCTGGCAACTCTGTGGGTGAGATTTCCCCCATAATGATGCATGTTGTTATAGACCATTCATTCCCATGGCGAAACAGCCTTTTATCCTGCAAACATACCATTTGTTTATCTGTTCCACCCCTGATGGGCTTTGGCTACTGTGATCAACCGTCCCTGTGCCTCTTGCTCTCTCTTTTAATCATTCTGTGTTAATTTATTGTCACAACAGTTGGCAACACACCATCTCATGGCTGTTACATGATTATAATTTTTTTTGAACAGGAGTGGTATTTATTTTTATTGCATTAAAATCTATGCTGCTGTTAGGTGCCTCATACGCACGCTAAAGCTGGATAATGAATAAGGAAGAGGAAAGAAGAATTAATGCCTTTGAATTATGGTGTTGGTGAAGAATACTGAATATACTATGGGCTGCCAAAAGAACAAACAGGTCTGTCTTGGAAGAAGTACAGCCAGAATGCTCCTTAGAAGCAAGGATGGTGAGACTTCATCTCACATACTTTGGACATGTTACCAGGAGGGACCAGTCCCTGGAGAAGGACATCATGCTTGGTAAAGTAGAGGGTCAACGAAAAAGAGGAAGACCCTCAAGAAGATGGAGTGACACAGTGGCTGCAACAATGGGCTCAAGCATAGCAATAATTGTGAAGATGGCGCAGGACCAGGCAGGGTTTCATTCTGTTGTACACAGGGTCACTATGAGTTGGAATCGACTCGATGGCACCTAACAACAACAACTAACAACCCTTACAGGAGCAGATCGCCAGGTCTTTCTCGGAGCCACTGGGTGGATTTGAACTGCCGACCTTTCTGTTAGCAGTTGAGCACTTAACTGTTGCACCACCAGGGCACCTTAGTAAAATAACTACAACATAAAATTTGCCATTTTAACCGTTTTTAAGCATACAATTCAGTGGCATTAATTACATTCACAATGTTGTACAACCTTCACCGCTATCTCCTTCCAAAACTTTTCATCACCCCAAGCAGAAACCCTGTATGATTAAGCAGTAACTCCCCTTCTCCATCCCCCGCAGCCCCTGGTAACCTGGGATCTACTTTCTGTCTCTGTGCACTCGCCTCTTCTACACACAAGTGGGATCATACAGTATTTGCCCTTTTACACCTAGCTTACCGTGTGGCACACTGTTTTTCAGATTTATCTTTGTCAACAAAGATTCCCTGTTGGAGCAGGAGAAAAGTGGGGTGCAGAACTCAAATTCTAGTAAAAAGACCAGACTTAATAGTCTGACTGAGACTGGAGGAACCCCAGAGAGCATGGTCCCTGAACTCTCTGTCAACCCAGCACTAAAATCATTCCCGGGCCCAACTCTTCAGACAAGGATTAGTCTGGACTATGGGACATAAAATGATACTCGTGAGGAGTGTGCTTCTTAGCTCAAGTAGATACATGAGACTAAATGGGCAGCTCCTGTCCGGAGGTGAGATGAGAAGGCAGAGAGGGTCAGGAGCTGGTTGAACGGACACAGGAAATCAGGGTTGGAAAGGAGGAGTGTGCTGTCACAGTACAGGAAGAGCAATTAGGGTCACATAACAATGTGTGTATACATTTTTTGTGTAAGAGACTAATTTGAATTGTAACCTTTCACTTGAAGTACAATAAGATTAAAAACAAAATAGGAAGGGAATTTTGATTCATGCTGCAATATAAATGAACCTTGGAAACAGCACGCTGAGAGAAGGAAGCCAGGTACCAGAGGACAAACACTGGATGACTCCCCGTATATGAAATATGTAGAAGAAGCAGATTCATAGGACAGAAACAGATTAGATATTACCAGGGGCTGGGAGGAGAGGGGATAGGGAATTATCACTTAAGGGGTACAGAGCTTCTGTTTAGGGTGATGGAGAAGTTTTAGAAATAGCAGTGAAGGTTATACAACACTGTGAATGTACTTAATGCTACTGAATGGCATACTTAAAAAATGGTTACCAAAAATCAAACCAAAGCCATTGCTGTCGAGTCGATTATGACTCATAGCGACCCTATACACAGAGTAGAACTGCTCCATAAGGTTTCCAAGGAGCAGGCTGGTGGAATCAAACTGCCGACCTTTTGGTTAGCAGCTGAGCTCTTAACTACTGTGCCACCAGGACTCAAAAAAAAAAAAAGATGATAAATTTTATGTTATGTAAATTTTACCACAAAAAAAAATTAAAAAAGAAAACAGACAAAGGCCACAATTTGAAAACCACTGGCTTAAATAGTAATAATAGTAAATAGTAATAGTAATAATGGATCACTGAATGGATTAAATGGTTAACCGCTCAACTACTAACCTAAGGATTGGCAGTTTGAACCCACCCAGATGTACCTTGGAAGAAACGCCTGGTGATCTGCTTCCAAAAAATTCACAACCCTGCAGACTCTAAGGAGTACAGTTCTACTCTGCACATATGGGTTGCCATGAGTCGGAACTGACTTTAGGGTAACTTTTTTTTTTTAAAACAGTAGTGAGCTTTGGGACCTACGATGAACAACAGGTAAGCTGACTGTCCCCACTAAAAAACCTAGCCCTTTTTTGTGCATCCATTATAAGAAAGGCCCGGGTATGAGGTTTACTACTCACTGCATAAAAACCGTCAAGCACAGCCCAAAAGAGTTAGGAACACATTGGGGTGGCCCAGGCAAAGGCAAACAGGAGGCCGGAGGTCACTTATGGCCCATGAAGGCTATTAACACCCACTCATCCTCATCTGAAGTTCCCGGGAAGGACGACTCTGGGATGGTTCACATTTGCTGTGTTTCCACTTACTTCACTCCAGTGGAAACCCCCCACTTCAGCACCCCTTTCTCCTCCCCCCTCTTCCCTCCCCCTCCTCCACCCCCACCTTATTTTCCGCAGCAACGTATGGAAGGGCCGGAAGAGTTCAGACATGTCCTCCGCCTTACGGTCCAGGTTCAACGGTCCATCTGCGTACACCACGAGGCCACTGCAGTCGAGAGAAAAGGCAGCAGCTGTCAGGTCTTGGCCATGAGCCCAGGACCTCTGGTCTAAACGCCTGGAAGGAGGCACACACGCACCCCCAAAGCCCCCCGCCTTGCCTTCTTGGGGTTGAATCTCAGTAAGGGTAGCAAAAAGAGACAGAAACTATTACCCTGGCTTTACTGTTTTTTTTGTTTGTTTATTGTTGTAGTTTAAGTGAAAGTTTACATTTCAAGTTAGTCTCTTATAAAAAAATTTATACATACATTGTTATGTGACCTTAATTGCTCTCCCTATACTGTGACAGCACACTCCTCCTTTCCACCCTGGATTTCCCGTGTCCATTCAACCAGCTCCTAACCCTCTCTGCCTTCTCATCTCACCTCCGGACAGAAGCTGCCCGTTTGGTCTCATGTATCTACTTGAGCTAAGAAGCACTCTCTTCAGAGTATCATTTTATGTCCCACAGTCCAGTCTAATCTTTGTCTGAAGAGTTGGCCTCGGGAATTGTTTTAGTTCTGGGTTGACAGAGAGTCCGGGGGCCGTGCTTTCCAGGGTTCCTCCAGTCTCTGTCAGACCATTAAGTCTGGTCTTCTTACTAGAATTTGAGTTCTGCACCCTACCGTTCTCCTGCTCCATCAGGGATTCTCTGTGGTGTTCCCTGTCAGGGCGGCCATTGGGGGTAGCCGGGCACCATCTAGCTCTTGTTAGCTTTACCGTTTTTTGAAGTTGATTAGCCTATGCTGATTTGAGGGATCATAAAAGCATCATAAAAATACCCCATGCACATCACTGTCGGAATCCAGTACACTGGTGCAAGATCTTTTACCAAAATCGACCTCCTTCAAATTGGAAAAACTGGGTTTGCTTTTACATTGACTTATAGACGTTTACTAGAATCAGCCTGGAAATGATTTACTCAAAAGTGAAATGTAAGTTCGTACTGAGGCCCGAGGCTCCGCCCAGGGAATGCGGGCAGCCTGGCACCCGGCAGACACTCACCCTGGAGTGAAGCTGGGCCCCACCCCACTGGCCACCCTGAGCCTCTAGTCCATCACATGGCCACCGCCAGGGCTGCCCCAAACCCAGGGATTGTCCCTCCCATCTTCTGGGGTGGGGTCCAACCCGGGACAAGTATGGTATCTGGAGGGCATTTCTGGGGGAGACTTGGTACGGTGCGGCCCCCAGGCTGCCCACACAGCCTGCCATGGACTCCCGAGACTGGCTGGCCATGGGGCCTCCCTACCCACACACCCCATGTCCAGGTGTCTCCTGGGGTCTCTCTAACCCACAATGACCATGGCCCCTCCTGGGGTCTCTCTAACCCACACTGAGCACGGCCCCTCCTGGGGTCTCTCTAACCCACACTGACCACCGCCCCTCCTGGGGTCTCTCTAACCCACACTGACCACGGCCCCTCC